GGTGTAAACTTACTTTTTTTTATCCCGAGAGTGTGTTATTGTCATTGTTTGCCCTTCAGTGAAGTCATCTTACTGACAGTATGACATGTAAAATGTTATAATAATCATCAGTCCTTGTTGAGATGATTAAAGAGTCACGAGTTCACATTTTCATTAAAAAAATTTTAATCTTCAAAATGACCTATACTTGTACATACCTCACCTCTGAAAGTTTTGTGTGTTATGGTAACACAAGTTTGATACCGAGTCACCACTGTGCTGGAGATTTTGCGAGCCTTGACCTAGATTTTGGGAAGAGGTGGTTGAGTGATAAATAAGGTTGGTATTATGAAAATGTCATGTCAAGCAATGTGGAATGAATGACAATGGATAGATGGTCAGGGGGTTGTATATCTAGGTAAAACCTCTTGAAGTTTTGAAACTCAAAATCAGGGGTTGTGTGTTTGCCTGAATTTATTTGACAGTCTCTTCTTGGATTGAATGTTGAATGTGTGTGCGCTTGTCTACCTTTTAAATCTCTGGTGGCAGGTGGTTGGAGGGCACTACTTCTTTACTTTCCCTCTGTTGTTTATGTTTGTCTGTCTTACTTCTCTACTGCACTGAATGACGATTATTATGTTGATGTGCTTCTCTGTACTTAAACAAGCAAACATAAACTCTGATAAGAATTGAATGGGTGGTTGATGGGCACTGTGTTGTTGTATGCTCCTTTTTCTTCTTTGTCATTATGTGTTTATGGTGAAATTGGACAGTTTTTGTTCAGACTCTGCTCAAGCATTGGTGTTAACTGTCAATTTTCTGTCTGTGTTGCACAGGATATCTTGGCTGGGATCTGTTTTGCCTTTTTCCTGATGGCATCGACAATGCCGTTTGTGGACCCGATTGACCAGTTCCTGATCTCTCACCCGAACGCGATGCCTGTGCTGGTGACAACGTGCATGGCCCTTTGCCTTCTATACCCGTCGCTGGACAAGTGGAGCACGGCCCGAGGGGACACCACCCTCGTCCTGGCCGTCTTCTCAGGCATCTACGCCGGACTCTGGCTGACTGGCGCGCTCACTGATTTCGAACCGGCTAAAGACTCACCTCCTTTTGTGCTGGGATTGCCTACCCCCAGAGAGGCTTTTCTTGCTCTGCTGCGTCAAGTGATTGGTGTGTTCTTTGTCGTGATTCTTTTGACGGCTATCAAGACGGCCGTGCTGCGAAGTCTCTCATACGTGTTTGGATACGATCACAAGGACCCAAAGACAAAGCAACATCTTCTTATAGAGCTGCCCTACAGATATGTGTCTTACTTTGTTTCTTCAACGGCTGCTGTGTATGTCATGCCTCTATTATTTCTGAAACTGAATATAGAAAGACAGAGTTACTACTCTGAGGTATTCAATTACTGATTTTGTAACTTATTCTATTTCTGTTACCACCTCCGTTCTTTCTGAAAGTTTTTTTCTTTGGAACTATACTATTATATATTCTCTTAATATGCATCCTGTGCTCCTCTATATATCATGTCTTACTGATTCCTGGATCATGGTGCTCATGTAACCGTCTGCTTCAACCAACATGGAGCCCATGCACTGAGCAGATTTCGCATTTTGATGGTCTCATGGCCGGCATGTTCTTTGAGAAGCATGCAGTACCTTGCTTCAAGTTGTAACCCTTTATGTCTCTTTTGTTGTAAGAATTATTTGAATCCAGCTAGGGCTCACCAGCAGCTGCTGAGTGTGAAGTAACCGAGAAGATCATATACTCAGACCTTGAATATATAAGGGGATTCATTTGTTCTGTGACCTATTTTTTTTTTTTGCCTTCATTTATTCATCAGTTTGATTTGTAGAGCATTTTACAAAAAATATCTTTGTTTTGAAACTGGTCGACTGTTCACTGAGTGTGTTAGTTTTATAGTGTTTATTTATTTACCCTTCTCTATACTGTAGTATACTTTGAGTGTAGTATGTTGTTGAACACGAAAGTTTTGCTATAATTTTGTATAACAGTGTGCAGAACTGTTATATTTAATGTTTTCGGTTTGAAGGCTTTAGTACTGAATTTGGTTGTTTGCACAGCTCAGTTCAATTAATGGCACTGAATGACAGTCCAAAGTTACAAAAAAAATTACCGTTTTGATTTTTTAGGGACAAGTCTTTTCATTTAGGACGTCTTTCGTCAGGGAACTGTGCGGTCTGACAATGGGCGGTGAAATACTTGTGCATTTTTACCAGTCTTGCATTCTCAATCTCAATCTCAGGGTATATGATATGGTATACACATATTTCATTAGGCTTTCTTTTGCACTCTTGTATGTAGAAGTCTTGCTATGACTTGTATATATATATATATATATGAAATTGAATCTTTCGGATTTTACTTCTCTGGAATATGTGCTACAACAGTAAGTCATATTTTTTCCCCCCTAAATTCATATCCAGATTGCATTTTTGAATTGACTTTAAAAAAAAAAATTCAATTTGAACCGAAAGTGTAGGATATTGTGAAAGTAGATATATGCTTCTTTCATCACAGATGTTGTGGTTGATGAATAATGTGATGAATTTGTACTGTTGATATGAGTTTAAAGTAAAAGGTGCTTTGCAGCTGTTTTGGAGGTTGCTTTCAAAAGCGACTGAGTATCAATGAAATAGAAAATATCTATGCTCTATTGATCACAAGGACAAAAGTCCTTTTTCATATTTTAACAATAAATCTTGCTTGAATTTTTTCTATTCTACTGCTCATCGCTGTAAATGAAGTAAAATGTTTATAGTGTGGAAGGAGATGGTCTCTGCGTATGCAGCATTAGGCCAAAAGCCATGAGAAGAGCTCGTTGTGCCATTACGGTGAGGCTGTTATAACTGCAGTTGCAGTTAATGGTACCCTGAATTGAGGTGTCAAATTCAGACTTGACTTTAAAAGTTTGTAGTGTGCATTCACAGTGGAAGCAAGCTTTTGGAGTTGCAGTGGTGAAGTTGGTAAGTAGTGCTTTAAAGCTATTATAACTGGTTTTTGCTTGTGCATTAGCTACCATGAATTAAGGATTTTGAGTAAGGCTTTGTAGATTATTCTTGGTACCAATGTATCTGCCCTGATGTCTGAGAAAAGTGCTATTATGTCCACAGATTTATTACAGTAAATTTTCTAGAAGAGATGTGGGTTAAAATAATGAATGGCTTTGGTGAAATTGTTCTGAGCTTATTTTGGAGACAGGAACAACTTTGTGCTGTTGTTTTTCACAACTCTAGCATTTATTGGTACATACAGAATGGTCCCAGAATAATCTTTTACCCTCCCCTCCCCTGATCTTCTGCTGCACCCGAATCTGAAGGGCTAGGCCCTTCATAAACCACCCTTCTAATTTTACTTCGATATCTGTCCTTTCAAAGGTCAGCGCTACATTTTTTGTGTGCGTTTACCAGTTTATCTTCTAAGTTTAAAGTATGTTAGACTGTACTCATTGTTTCTCTGCCTATGCTCAAGTTCTATTAATCAGTATATTGTCCATAACAGGAAGCTCAAATGTGCAGATACGACCTCTCTGTTGTCTGTTACTCTTTAAAGTCTTCACTCTATGCTCATAGTAAGTAACTCACACCATGTCGTTTTGGCAAGTAGTCTGACTGTTTTCATTCTTCTAAAAAGCAATATTGTTTTTTAATTGTTTTCAGCCCATCTCCTGTTGTTTAATGTTTACTTCCCCCCCCCCCCCCCCCCCCCAAAGCATTAAAAATGCTAGATTAGTACTTCTTGTGTTAAAGTTAAGTACTTGCTCCTTATCTTCAGCTGTATCTTTCTATCTACTGAAGTTTTGCCTTTCAAAATTTATTACCATTATTGCTGTAAAGATTTTTAAAATAATTATAACAAATATAATATAATGGTGATTGTTTTTTCTCTGATGGTGGCCATGATACCAATGGTTTGACACAGCTCGTTATGTGCTTCAATACTAAGTTGTACAGTATTTGATGGTGAGAGCATGTTCTCAAATGACTCCGCTGGTTTGTCCTATTATGCTATTGAGATCCCCAACAGAAATATTTGTGGGTGTATTTTACTAGTTTATACGTCGCGAGTAACTTTTTAATTTGTTAATAGATTTAGGTCTTAGTTTTGTCTTTTTTATTAATTATGTGGGTGTTCTTTTTTTCATGAAGTTTTGCTGACAGTTTTCAGGAATTTACAGTCCTATTGTGTCATAGTCTTTGCGGAAATTTTGCTTTGAAACAGAACATCTAGTGTATTTGGGAGGGACAAGGGGTGTTCAGTCAATATGCTCTGTATTCAGTTTACAATCAAACTAGCAAAGTTAAAATTTTTTATATATATAAAACTTGATAGCATTAGTAGGTATCAGTAGACGATGTGTTGAAGTTCAAGTGATTGATCTGCCTAACGGAAAGGTCAAGCCACTGTACACTAGTAGTATTGATACGAAGCTGGTATTCATTCTGTTCTATTGCCATTATTATGTTGTAACTTTTACTAATGTTTTTATTTGCAACAGTTTCAGAGTAATGAAAGTTTTTTGTTTCTCGTGAGCATGCAATTTGTGGGCAGAATGTAGTTTTATTTTAATTTAGCATGCAGTGTGTGGGCAGTACATAATTTTGTTTCTTTTCAACCTGTAGTCATGGCCCGGTATTCATTTAATCTCCACCGCGCCTGTAGTGCGTTTGTTTTTGTCACTGAGATAAAAGAGAGAGCCAGTACAGAAAAAAGAAGCTGAATCACGTCTAAATACTCCAACATAAATGTGATGTTATTTTTTTGTATAATGTATTTATGCACAATCATTGTTTTCTACTACTGCATTGTGAATATACTCATTTTGTACTCAACATTGTTAATCAATCTTATGCACTCTACCAGTTTATTGTCGGAGCCCCTTTTATTTCTTGGGGGCCATGAAAACGCGAGCATGCTGTTACCGCCCTTCCAGGCTCACTCTTTCTAATGGAAAGTATAACGTTATCAATGTGTTTCTTTACTTTATTTCAATGAGCAGACACGAGAGCCAAATGCTGTATACATTGGCCAAGAGAGTATAAGTTATAGTAGGAGAATGTTTAATACTAGTGGTATGGTGCCGTCTTGGGTAGATGAGACTTATTTCCACTTGTTCATAAAACGTTTTTATGAAAGGAAAAGGCTCTGTGGTTGCCCAGGTAATATGGTTCTGTACTTTATTAATATGGTACTGTACCTATGTCCGAGTCTGATTCTTGATCGAGGTGGACGATTGATAAGACACGCGTCTCCGGTACAGCTTCTGCTTGAATTGGATTCCTGATCTAGGTCTTCAGGAGCAGTGATGTTTTTTCTCCTCTTTTCTGTCAGAGATGGACGTTAATCATGATGTCGTGTCTCATGACCTGTGTTGTGTTAAAAAGAGGAGTAAAAATAGAAAGTGTCAGTAAGACAAATTGTTTTGAGAGCAGCCCCAATATCCACTGCATTTTACAACTGCTGTGATCTGTCTTGGTATCTTTTTTTTTTTTTTTAAATTATATTTCTTTTAGCATCCGATAATCAAACTTGTTTGCAAATTGTTCTTGTTTTCGTGCATCATTTATCATGCTTTTTGTTCTCCCCACTCATAATTTGATGATGCACAAAGAAACCATTCTTGTTTTTTACCATTTACAAAGTTTCACATTTTTAGTTACCGCCAGTCTATGGCAGCTTCATAGTGGAAGCTCACTGAGTGTTCATCATTCCTCTGCGATCATTGATATTACAGATAATCAAACCCTTCTTTGTTTGTCAGCACATATTTCTCCCTCTTTGTTGACCACTGTCTGTATTGGACTGCAAACTGCTGTAGACATCTAGCATTATCAGGAGAAGGTTTTTGTAGTTTACTTTGCATGCTGTTTTTGTCATCAGACATCATGGCCAAGTCTGTGGTGATTGTTTGCATGAGTTCAGCCTGGCGAACTGGGTGTTCAGATAGGGAATGTTTTTGAAGGATTTTTTTTCGTTGGTTGTTTTAGTTTCAAAATTCTTTTGTGGACTCAGGTTTCCTTTTGTTGTGGGTCTAATCATCAAACCCTGTGTTTTTTAAAGTAGAATTTTTAACTCTTCAGTATGTAGATAATGTTTTAAACTTGTAGTTGCTTGTGTTTTCAAAGATCAAAGATTGTTTTTACACTCGCTGTGTATGACTCTTACCTTGGTTTTGATGGGCAGTTTTCAACGCATTCCAGGATGTTGTGGATATGCGGAGGTAAAATGCTGTGCTCTTATCAGAGGCATATTGGATTGTGATAGTGGATGGGATGGCTAATGGGGAGGGGTTTGCAGTATCTCTCAGTTGGCTGGAAATGACACCAATGCCGTTATGGAGACGGATGGGCTACTGAAGTCTTCTTTGATTGATACTGTATTCTCTTAGTTTTTTGTTTTTTGGGGGGCGGGGGGGTTGTTTTCTTGCCAGCTCTTCCCCTTCCCGGGCCACCCTCCACCCTGTTGGTGATGTATAGTTCTGTCATCATTGTCTGTCGTCCCTGGACTTATAAAGCACTGTTGAGACCCCTGTTGTGTTCTCAGTATTATTGATGGTTCGTCTCTTGATCCGTCCGACCACCCGGAAAGTTCAGTGGGTCATTTCAGCCATGTTCTTTTATTTTCATCTATCTCTTTCTTCTGTCGCTGCTTCCTCTTTAAGCTAGACTACCGTTGTTTCTGTGCAGTGCAAAGAAATTTTGTGTATATTTTGTTGAGGGGTTGGGGGGGGGAGGGGGGTGTCCTTTTTTAATGTTTTGGGGGAGGAGGGAGAACCAGGTCGGTTGGCCTATGTATAGTTTCATTTACTTTGTAAAATTGGAGTCTCAAGAAAATAATGATTCTTGTTTAAGTACTGATGTTTTTTGTGAACCTGATATTTTTTTTTCTTCTGACATACGCTGATTGCGTGTAAAGGTAGACTGTCAGATTTGTCTTGGAATGCAAAAAGTTGGTGTCAGTTCTGTGCACAGTCAGAGTATATCAGCACTGCTTTAGAACCTGTGTTGTTGCACAATCTTATTGTTTTAAATGAAGGCTTTTGTGTTTTGGGATGGTGGGCCTAGGCTTGCCACGTCTTACTTCACACTTTAGTTGAAAATCTTACACCATGTGGTTACGTTCAAGCAAAGAATACAGGTACACTGTTTTAGATTTACATGGATGATATGGAAGGAATTTGTCAGGAGTTGGATTTTTAGACTTGTTCGTTTCGTTTTTGGAGTAATAACATCGACTGAACTTATGGCAATTCAAGATACATACCAAAGCTTTATTTTCTTGACAAAGTGCCCTTTTTCCTCTTTGGTTTTCTTTCATTCACTGGTAATCTTCAACTGAATTGTTTTCTTTGGTTTCTGTGTATTATGTTTTTTGGGGTTTTTCGTGTTGTTTTTTTCCTTGTGTTGCTTTGCAATAAGCTGTAATATGTGTACATAAACCATTGACAGTTTTATAAGTCAAAGAAGATAGAGTGTCATTATCACAGAAAACCATTTTTGTTTACATTCTTTTTTTTCTGTCACAATGCTCCCATATGAATGCTGTATAACCATATGAGAACTTTAATTCAGCGAAGTGTTGTTTCCGTTATTGTAAAAGAGTCCGGTACATGCAAATTACTGTGTCTGTCTTTGAAAATCCTGAATTTGTCGTTTGATAATATAGAGTGAGTCAAAATTATGTTAACACGAGTACTGGAAAAATGATTCATTGATTGCAGGGTCAGGAGCTGTAGCCTCAGCTCGGTCAGACGTTGTGTTCCTGGCAAAGACATTTTACTCACGAATTTCCCATTTGGCTTGGTCCTTTTGGAGATGGGCGTTAAAGTTGGGTTACCCCACCTCTTAAATAACCTAACAGTGTTGATTGGGGTGTTAAACGTATACCATTTCACCTTTTTCACGATGTCCCCAACTGTTTTTTTGCTTTTTGCTAAACACACTCTCCTTTACCACGCCACATAACCAGAAGTCACAGGGTGTCAGATCAGGGGAGTAGGCAGACCAAATACTTCCCACATCAAGCTTGCAACCACCCAACTCTTTTGCTCCAATGCGAGTCTGTCAGCCATTGCCTTGAGAACGTGTATCTGTAACAGAAGAGAAAAGTATTACCATAATTTTGACTCGCTCATTTCTCCCGTACTAATGGTAAACTAATTTGACTCACTCTGTATTTACTTGATTTCAGTAGTTAATTTATGGGTTCTTGGCACTGGTGTGGGTGGGAATCCCATAGCTCTATACGGATTTCGCCGAGATCTGATGTCTGGCAATTTTCTCTGTGTGTGTGTGTGTGTGTGTGTGTGTGTGTGTGTGTGTGTGTGCGCGTGTGTTTGTGCGTGTGTGTGTGTGTGTATGTGTATGTGTGAGAGAGAGAGAGAGAGGGGGGGGGTCCATTCAGCCCACCCTGTGACGTCGCCAGTTCTTCCTTTAGATCCGTTGAGACTTAAGAGGTTCAACGTACGTAAGTAAGAGCTGCTAGACAGGGGCACAGCGAGAAGTTTCTGCTGGTGTGTTGCCACAAAGGACTATTGAAGTGTCACGTTTCTGCCCTCCTCTCGAGGAGCTCGTTCAGAGACGAACTCTTCCACCAGAAAATGAAAAGGTTGGATTATTTTAAAAAAATGTGAATAAGTGGTTTAAACCAGGCTAAGACAAGCCTCCTCCTTTTTTCTAACCCCCCCCCCCCCTCAATTCTCGTTCATTCCTTCTCCTTTCAAGCCATCCACCCCTCCCTTCCCGATGATTTGATCGTCGTTAAATCACTCGGCCTTTGATTGTCTGTCACTGAACTCCCCCCCCCCCCTTACCCCTCTCTGCTAATTCTGTGCAAATTGGTTATGTTGACATTTAGCACCCGCATACAGTACGGTTGTAACTTGTGCAAGTCCCGCGACCAACGCAGCTTCCAGTTCGAGAGAACCCTCTCCGTTTTCCCGTCTGGGCAATTACGAGTAGTGCAAGATATAGTAGTTGTACTGTACAGTGTCAAGGTTTCGTATATATCGAAACCACAAGCGCTGTCTGCAGGGTGGTTGGAGGAAGGAAAAACACCCCCCTCAACCCCCACCCCCACCCCCACCCCCCAAAGAAACGGAAGGGGATGGGATGGGTGAGGTTGACTGTTGTAAAAAGTTCGTGGACTTCAGCTCAAAGAAAAGTACTGGAAGGATATTAATTGTTTATTTGTTTGTGTCTCGTGTTTCTTGAGCTGGCGTGATTTCCTTCCTACAACCACCTAGGTGTATTGATGGCCCGTGTGCCTACGCAAGTCACTGAAATCCCCTTCGTCTTTACTGTTTACCGCGCTTTGTGCCACATAACGTTGATACAGCCATGACACTTTTACAACTACCCACTCCCACCCCCTCCCCCTTCCCCCATCTCTCTCTCTCTCTCTCTCTCTCTCTCTCTCTCTCTCTCTCTCTCTCTCTCTCTCTCTCTTTCTCTCTCTCTCTCTCCCACCCTTCACACCCCCCCCCGAAAAAAATACAACGGTGAAGTGATTTTTATTTTATCTTCATCGAATCAAGATCTGGAGTTCTCCGGTGATGGTCAGCCGTAAACGTGTCCCGAACAAGCCCTACGTTTGATTCATGCAGATCGGTCAATAGCCCGTCTGCACGCCCGCCCTCACCTTGGCCTCGCGGGCAAGTCTTGAGGTTCGCTCGGGCTTTTGTATACACTTCGTTGGCAAAACATCCAATCTACTGTAGTGGTAGTAGTTTATATAGCAGCGAAGTGCAGATGTGCCCCTGTGGACCTGGCAAGGCGTCGACGACGTCGGTCGCCTTCTCCTCGCTGTGTCATCGAACTGAGATTAGTGCCTACGGTGTGTGACCGTTGCATGCGACCCGTCTGATGTGACAATCTTAATGTCGTCTCCCTCCCCTGCTTTTGCTACTGATCTATTAAGGTCAGGCAGGCGATGTCTCCTCGGATCAGACCCGAAGGATAATAATATGGGGAGGGGCGTGTCTTCAGCTCAGTAGACTCTAGTGCGGAGGGTACGGTTTCAAATCTCTTAACGCCTTTCTTCGGGTGTCTGGAGGATTCCACTGGTGGTAGGTCCCACTTCTTTACTTTTCCCCAGCACTGAATTACCATGATCGTGTCGATTTACTTCTCTTTACTCAAACAAACAGTGAAACAGACGAACCCCTTTTCCCCCTTAAACTCCCCGAGTTGGTTTTGTCCCTGGTGCGCGGAAGTTATTATTTCGCGACTTTTCCTTTTATTGCACCAAAGGGACGTTTATAATATTGTGCCCAAAACCAAAGCCAAATTAATGCTGTGAAGGGTGTAAAAACGAGCTCGTGGGAGAAGACGATGCCGACTTTGGTGGCTTTTGAACCATGGAAATGTATCCGAAGGAGACAGCAGGGAATACTTTTTAAAGCACCGTATCTCCATTTGGGCCCAACCCACGACAAAGAGATCGAAGGGTGACGTGTAGGCCTATTGTAACTGGGGTAACAACGAGCTGTGTGCTGTAATGGCTGTAAGCTCAGTGGAGTTGGTATCGTGTTAGGCTGTGGTGCGAAGGGCCCTGTTTTACATCCCCAGTGGGGAGTTTTCATGGCTCTCCGCCTACCTTATGCAGTTGCAAGCTCCGTAAAACCTTACAAGAACGCAACTCTCTGCCTACTTTTCCGAGGCGGATGTTTGGTTCAGAAGTTCCACTTCTTTTATAACCTCGCCGTGTTGGAAGGTCATTATACCTTTACAGTTACCATGGTGGTAGGAGGGGGCCACTGGTAGATTCTTCGTTACAACATGTATTTCTCTGTTTTGTGTGCCTGTCCGTGCAGGTGGTTGGAGGTACCTCTTGTAGATCCTTCTTATTTACTTTTTCCTCTGCTGTTTCTGTCTGTCTATCTTTTATTTTTCCCCAGCACTAGATTACCATTATTTTGTCGATGTTTATCTTTACTCAAACAAACAAATGTTTGCCCATCTTGCTTTACCTCAGCTCTAAACCACTTTAACTTTAATTGAGTCAACGTCTCTTTACTCAAATTAAAGCCTTTATCCTTTCATCCTTCCTTACCTTTCACTTCTACATCGCAGCCTGCTCCTCGGAGCCGGTTTCTCTGCTTTCAAAGTGACCTACTTTTTGTCCAATGGGGCGTTCGTTGAACTCAAAACTACAATGTAGTTCATACAAGAATTGAAGAAAGTGTCGTTGGAGTGTGAGGTCCTACGAATTTTGTTGTTATAAGACTTCGGACGGAAGGGCACTGTACTCGAAAATGTTGGCGGAAAGATTGTCTGATTGAGATGTCCGAGGCAAGATGGTTTAAAAATTTATTTTTTTTTTACTGTTTTCTGTGATGTGAATGAATGGCCTGTTTTTCCTTCTGAAACTCAGTTACCCACTGTGGGTTCAGAATTTGGCGGTTCCCACGAGACCAAGAGCGCGGAAATGAGGTCAAACGTTTTTTGTGTGGGTGTGGGTGTGGGTGTGAGGGGGGAAAGTAGGCCATTGTGAGCTGCCGATTGTTGCACTGGACAGAGCCGGGCAAGTTGCTAGCTAGCAGTAGCCCTGTCTACAATGTAATCATTTTTGTAGATCTCTATGAAGGAGCCGTTTGACTTTTTCTTCCATTTTTTTCTTCTCCAGTGAACTATTTTGCTCAACAAGAACGACCTCTGTGAGTGCGAGTGGACGTGGTCTGGTAAATAATGCGCGGATACCGGTTACCGAGATTAATATTTATATTGGCTGTCAATGTGATATTATTACTTCGGTCCAGGAAGCTATGGAGGCAAGTGTGTAGGGTGGATTTTTTTCTTCTTTTTTGGGGGGGTGGGGATGGGGGGTTCTGATATTGATCTCTTTCCTGTCAAACGCCTATCGTCATTATCGCCCCTCCTTCCTTTTCGTGTTTGTAACTCTCTTGTAACACCTCTAATCTTCGGCATTTTTATGACCTTATTGTGTTGCAAGTGCCGTAAAACTCTTACTAAATCATAAAACCGATCTTGATCGTGGCAATCGGTTGTTTATAGAGCGGTTTCCTTATTTAATGTCAAATAAATAAAATTTACTGTCGTGCTGGGTGTGTGGAAGAGGTTTGGTTCATGTCGAGCCCCCCTTGCAGTCAGGAAATGCCTGCATGTGGATCTCCCCTCCTCTGCTTATATGACGATAATAATGTGACTTTTTTATCTGACCTCGGCTTCGGGCAGCAGCGGTACCACTTTAGGGTACGTTTGATGAGTGGGGGTTTAGCGGTACCACTTTAGGGTACGTTTGATGAGTGGGGGTTTAGCGGTACCACTTTAGGGTACGTTTGACGAGTGGGGGTTTAGCGGTACCTGTCTAGGTTACGTTTGATGAGTGGGGGTTAAGACTCCAAATCCAAAGTGTCGGGTGGGGGGAACAAGACGATAATATAATAATATAGCGTTGACATCGTTACTTTTTTGTGTTTGATATCGGACCAAAAACATTTTGGGGTGGGTGGTTGGCGGGTGCTCTGGTGTGGTTTGCTCCTTCTTTCCTATCAAACATCTATCGTCCTTTTCTCCCCTTCTTCTTTTTTATGTTTGTTACTCTCTTGTAA